GGGTAAGTAACTTTGGAAATTAGAGGAGTCTGTAATGCTGAAGACAAAGGGAACTACATATAAGCACTGTACTCTAGTTGATAACATGTCTCCTGTGGCAGTATGTGTTTACTCTTCAGAAACCACTATCCTTATATACTGAACAGTTAGGTAAATGGATGGTGGATGATGGGAGCCAGATTTCTCACTGTTGGAGTAAGAGGTAATAGATAAGCAAGAGGAGAAGGCTGGAATGATTCATGTGGGTATTAGATTAGAGTTAGGTACTGAAAGGGCTGCCAGTGGCCAAGCTAGAACAATTTATGCAAGAAAATAAATAGTATCAGATTATAACCCTGAGTATAAAATAAATATCCTGAATTCATACTTATATAAATAAATGATTGAATAAATAAATGAGGAAGAATAGACAAATTCCCCATGCAGAAGAATTCCAAACAGTTTATGTAGGTAACTCACCCTCAAGCAAGTGGAATAACTCCCGACTCCTTAAGTATAGGCTGTGCTTTGTGACTTCATTCCAAAAAGTACAGTGTGGAAGGCGGGGGTGGGGGGTGGGGGTGCAGAGTAATGTTACAGTGGAGAAAGTTGGCAAACACTACCTTCACCAGATGACCTAGGTAAATATCAACAGCGATGTCATGTTGATATTATGTACCTTTGAAATGGTGTGATGAGAATGGTACTTTACCTCAGTGGTCTTCCTCCCTAAAACCCATAACCTAGTCCTAATCTCGAGAAAAACATTAGATGAGTTACTGTTAAGGAACATTCTACAAAACACCTGGCCAGTACTCCTCAAAACTGTCAAGATTATCAAAAACAAGGAAAGTCTGAGAAACTGTCACAGCCAAGAGAAGCTTAAGGAGACATGACAACTGAATGTAATATGGTATCCTGGATGGGATTCTGGAATAGAAGAAGGATGTTAGGTAGAAACTAAGGAAATCTGAAGGAAATACAGACTGTGGTTAATATATCAACATTTTACCAATAAAAATGGATCAATAATATACCAATATTAGTTCATTGTGACAACCATACCACCTAAGGTAAGATGTAAAAGGAAACTGGGTATGGGGTATATGAGAACTCTTTGTAGTAGCTTGAAAACTTCCCTGCAAATCTAAAATTATTTTAAAATGAGATGATTTTTTACCAAGTAAAAAAAAGAAGAGGAAAGCAAAAATGATGGTAATAAAAATGATGGCCAACTCAGGACAATACTGTACATCCTTACCAGAATTAATGATGATGTGCAGTGAGAGTTTGCTGTTGTGGCAGTTGTCACAGGGCAGTCAGACTTCTTAGTAGAAAACAGTAAACTCTAATAGTGTGCCTAATTTATGAATAGTAACTCACCTAGTGGGTTACTAGCAAGTACTCAGTTGTAGTTAAAAATTAAAGGGTATTGTGTATTTTAAAAACGAAATAAAATGCTTAAAATTTTAGATCAGTTTATGCAGCAAAGAAAATTCTCTGCACCTACCACTGGGCTGCAAACCACATTTCACCTTGTGATACTAGTGTTTTGCAGTTGACTGTTCCCTAGAGGAGGCCTAATGCTTTCAAACAAAAGTATGTCATAATTTTGAGGGCACTAAATATATCTTCCCTACATCATTTATCTTTCCTTTCTTCTATTCATCCAAGAAAACTCCGTAAACGCAAAGACAAAGCATGCGACAAGGTTTTTGATTGTTTTACAAATACTTATTTTAGTTTAAATTAATCCAAAGAATTCATGTCAAAGGTAAAAGTAAAGGCAAAGCTATTTTTAATCAAAGATTAATTGTATGTGAAAATAGATTTTAAGCAATTTAAACCAATATTAGAATAAGAAATTTTGCATAACAGTGTAAACTCTTGAAGTGGAATTGTGATATTCATGAATACTGAAGCTTTTCACTTTGGTGATATTAAAATGAGTAGTTGAGTAAATAAGTGTTAAAATGCTGCTGTTGGAAAATGATTTTTAATCCCTTAAATCAGAAAATATCTGAATGGAAACACTTTTATCACTTCAAATATTAGCTTTCATGACTCACATATCTTAGTAAGGCAGAGTTCTTCAGTTCTTTGGAGAGTTTACATACTGTAATTAACATACAGCAGAAATTTTGTCAGCAGTTACTATGTAACAAACCATCCCTAAATTTAGTGATTTAAAACAACAGCTATTATTTCTCCTGAGTTAGTGGGTTGGCTGGTAGTTTTAATTTGGACCAGACTTTTCTGTGAAAGGTTTAACTGGTTGGTTGAGATCTGCTGTTTAGCTGATTGGGACTGAGCCGAACTGATGGGACAACCTGACTTTGCTCCATGTGGGCTCTCCTCCTCAAGCAAGCTAGCCCAGACTTATTCTTATATAGGTGTGTCATGGTGGAGAGCACAAGAAAGAAGAGAGAAAGCATGCAAGGTCATTTGAGCCCTCGGTTTGGAAAAGCATGTTACTTCTGCCTTATTGTCTCGACTAAAGCAAATCAAGACCAGCTCATATACAAGGAGTGGGGAAATAAATTCTGCATCTTGATGGGAGGTGTTTCAAAGTCACATTGCAAAGATCATAGATTCAGAGAGGGAGGAGTGGAGAATTGGGGCCATTTTGCAGTCATTCTAAAACAGTGATTGTAAACAGAACTTTGGTAAATTTGAAATAGTATTCAGAAGAATCACCTGCTTAATTCAGGTAGATTCTTTTTTTTTTTTTTAAAGATTTGATTTATTTATTTGAGAGAGAGAATGAAGAGAGAGAGAGAGCACAAGAGGGGGGAGGGTCAGAGGGAGAAGCAGACTCCCCGCTAAGCAGGGAGCCCAATGTGGGACTCAATCCCAGGACTCCAGGATCATGACCTGAGCCGAAGGCAGTCGCTTAACCAACTGAGCCACCCAGGCGCCCCTAATTTAGGTAGATTCTTTTCTGTGCATGTAAAACCAAACAGGTGAATTAACTATTGCTTTATTTTGCCTTTATTGTAATAATATTCCTTATGGTAACTTAAAATAGGCACTATTGTTTTTAAAGGGCAAGTGTCAATTTTAAACAGAAACACATTTTAAATTTTATTTTATTTATTATTATTTTTTAAGATTTTTATTTATTTGACAGGGAGAGACACAGTGAGAGAGGGAACACAAGCAGGGAGAGTGGGAGGGGGGGAAGCAGGCTTCCCGCGGAGCAGGAAGCTGATGTGGGACTCAGCCCCAGGACCCTGGGATCATGACCTGAGCCGAAGGCAGACGCTTAACGACTGAGCCACCCAGGCGCACCTAGCAACTTCTTTGATAATGTGTTTTGCTATGAGGATTTCCCTGAAGTTTTCAAGTTGATTGTACCAAGATATAAAAAAGGAAAGCTATGTGTGTGAGATAGCATCAGTGACATTTTAGTTCTTTAGCATCTAATCTCAGACAATTCTTTCGTGTCACTTTAAGTCAGGTATTTCTATGTTTTCCTTTGAACTTGAGAGCAATCAGTTACATCCCCTCTTTTCTGTACTAAAGTTTTCTCCCTAAAAAAACAGAGGAATCACAGGTCAAATCTTTTTTTTTTTAAAAACTTTATTTATTTATTTATTTGAAAGAGAGGGAGAGAGAGAGCACAGAGGCAGAGGGAGAAGCAGACTCCCTGCTGAGCAGGAAGCCGAACATGGGGCTCCATCCCAGGAGCCTGAGATCCATGACCTGAACTGAAGGTAGCCACTTAATCAACTGGGCCACCCAGGTGCCCCTCACATGTCAAATCTTAATGGCTTCTGGTACTTATTTTGAAATCTTTTCATTTTGACCCGTTAATCTTATTTTCGTAGACATCGAGCTTTCTGGTTCTGATTCTGTTCTGGTCCCATTGTATTCTGTTGTTAATTTTTTTTTTTCTCTCATTTCTTCATTGGCTTCTTTTTATTTCCATTAATACTGGGCATCATCCAAAGTTCTCTTTTAGGTTTCTGCTCCCATTTCTTCTCAGTAACTCTTAATACATATTAGATATGTTTATTTGCATGATCTTTATTAAAATGTATCTAAACTGGACATCTTTCCTTTTCTCCTTCTCTCATGTATTTTTACCTATTTATTTAGATATGCCTCCGTCTTTTAAATATGTCACACATCACTTTGGTTTTTCTGGTCTTCCCAGGCCCCTCTACTTATTTCTTTGCCACTATGGACAGCACCATGATCTTCATAGGATCTAAGAGTCTTTATCTGAATATCATTATTGGTTTTATCTATTAAAACCAGAGGATTACTGTTATTTTCTATAGTAGTTCTGCCTTATTAATATATATGGTCATATCTAAATGATTTCCCTACATAAATAAATACATGTTGATTATCATTATTGCTAAGATATAATCATTAGAATTCAAAATAAAGGAGAAATCGTTTGTTCCTCTTTTATCTCCTAGTAAATATTGCTGTTCTCCCCCCAGGAGTTGTCATGTTATTATAAATTTCCCTTCTGAAGTGCCTCAAAAATTAAAACAAACAATCTCCTCCTTATTTCCTTTCCTTCTGTGTTTTGGTTTCACTTTTTATATGTGAATGATACAACATTTGAAGTGTATTTAACCATAAAAATTAAAATCTTTCATTATAGGGGCTCCTGGATGGCTCAGTTGGTTAAGTGTCTCCCTTCGGCTCGGGTCATGATCTTGGGGTCCTGGGATCAAGCCCCTCATTGGGCTCCCTGCTCATTGGGCCGTCTGCTTCTCCCTCTGCCTGCCGCTCTCCCTGCTTGTGCTCTCTTTTTCTCTCTCTCTCAAATAAATAAATAAAATCTTTAAAAAAATAAAATCTTTCATTATATTGACTCTGCATTTTTTTTTTCTGAGTGAACATTTTACTTCAAGGTTAATTTTTTCCATAGTTTTATTACTATATAACTCTATTGGTATTGAAGCAAAAAATTATTTGAACTTGATTTTTTTCTCCATATTTTCATTGAAGAAAGAGTTTTCTCCTCAGGAATAAGAGCTGTAATTTTTTTCCCCCCTCAGATTCTCCTGAGAATGATATTCCTATGGAGATCACAACAGCAGAACCACAAGTTTCTGAAGCAGTATATGATTGTGTTATTTGTGGACAGAGTGGCCCCTCCTCTGAAGACCGACCTACAGGATTGGTTGTACTGTTACAAGCATCCTCAGGTAAAATCAAAGTAATTTTTCAGTGGGATTATTTTAGAGTCAAAGTATATACAACATATTAATAAATATCTGTATTAATTGAAAGTTGTATCTTTGTCTGGATATAACTATAGATCTAAATAGCTAGGATCAATTTAGATATGTATAGCAAGGATTTTAAATTTGATTATATCTGACTTTCCTGGACATGAGTGTTAGAAGAAGCCCTTAACAGAGAAGTTTCTCTATATGTTTACACAATCTTTTTCCTTAAAGTGTGATGGTATATTACCAATGCTAGATGGCCAATAATGGAGTTCAGCTTTCTTAACAATTTAGTTGTTTTAAAATTGGGAAGCATTTTAAGCCCAGATATATTGTCAGTTTAAATATTTTAACTACATAAAGACACATTCAGGTAGTTTTACTTTTATTTCTTGAGCTACTAGAAGCAGTAATTCTTTTTTTTTTTTACTATGTTAATCACCATACATTACATCATTAGTTTTTGATGTAGTGTTCCATGATTCATTGTTTGCGTATAACACCCAGTGCTCCATTCAGTACGTGCCCTCTTTAATACCTATCACCAGGCTAGCCCATCCCCCCACCCCCCTCTCCTCTAGAACCCTCAGTTTTTTCTCAGAGTCCATCGTCTCTCATGGTTTGTCTCCCCCTCCAATTTCCCCCACTTCACTTTTCTAGAAGCAGTAATTCTTGAAACAGCCTGTTGAATGGTATCTTTGCCAATGAAATTAAAAAAATTTTTTTTTAATTTTATTTTAGTGCATACACATGAGCCGGGGGAGGGGTAGAGGGAGAATCTGCACTGAATGGGGAGCCTGACATGGGGCTCCATCTCACCACACCTGAACTGAAATCAAGAGTCAGACATTTAAGCGACTGAGCTACCCAGGTGCCCCTAAAAATTTTTTTTGAAAAATTTTTGAAGGATTTGTCTGAATGTTCTCTATCCTTTCCCATGCTAAAGTATTTTAAGATGTGATAACCCTTATACACTCTAGTCCCAATGAATTCAATCCATTTTCTTTTTCTTTTTTTTTTTTTGAATTCAATCCATTTTTAACAGGAGTTTGTATGAAGCAAAAAGAAAATAAAATTCTTACACATTTCTCCTGAGCATTTTTTCTAGGGTGTTTATTCTCTGAATTAGTATAGTAAAGTGGAAAGAGATATGCATCCCCTGAGTTCAAATACAGGTATTGCTTGACATAATCTGGCCAAGTTTGTTGCTTTCTTTTAACTATAGAGATAATATTGACTTCAGAGGATTGTTGTGTTGGTTAAGTAATGTAATATAGGCAAAAGGATCTAATATGATGCCTGCTAAATTAGTTTCTCCTCTTGTTACTTTTCTTGCTTAAAAATTTGATTTGGGAAACCCCACTTGAATAGGACATTGGGGTAGAGCTGTCACGAGAAATGCCTACTAAAAAGGAAATGTGTGGGGTACCTGGATGGCTCAGTGGGTTAAGAGTCCACCTCTTGATTTTGGCTCGGGTCATGAGATCAAGGCCTGTGCTCAGTGGGGAGTCTACTTTCCCCTTCTCCCTCTGCGCCACCCTCCTGTCCTATGCACATGCATGCTCTGTCTCTGTCCAATAAATAATTAAATCTTTAAAAAAAATAAAAACGAAATGTGTGGGAGTATTGGCTAACTAGTTTTGTAGCTATTTCTCTTTTCTACTACTGTGACAAAACTAACCTATTAGATTTTTGCCACTTAACTTTTTTTTTTTTTTTTTAAGATTTTATTTATTTATTTGACAGAGAGAGAGACAGCTAGAGAGGGAACTCAAGCAGGGGGAATGCTGAGCAGGGAGCCAGCCCGATGCGGGGCTCCATCCCAGGACCCTGGGACCGTGACCTAAGCTGAAGGCAGACGCTTAACAACTGAGCCACCCAGGCGCCCCAGCCACTTAACTTTTTATAACTTCTTCACCAAATACTTTGTAATCATCAGTGTAATGTTTTATTTATGCCTTCATTCATTCATTCCACAAATATTTGTTGGGAACCTAGGTGCCAGATACTGTCATAGTATGAAACAAAGCAAAACAAAAATCTCTGCCCTAATAAAGGCAGAGTTTTTGTTTTTGTTGTTTTAATCTTTATTTATTTATTATTTTATATTTTTAAAGTTGCTTTGACCAAATTGTCACTTCATTTAACTCCTTTTCATAATTTTGTACACTAGCTAAGCTTATTAAAATTAGATAATTCCACTATGTTGTAGCTCTTTTATCTTTTATAGATAGAAGGAAAATGAATAAGAAACTAATCTGAAAAAGCGTTAGATCTCTAAAGAGTGATTTTAATTGGGAACCGTAGCAGGTGAAATCTCTGGCTGTTTCCTTATTTTCTTTCAGAGCCTCACACACCTGCTGATATCTTGCATTTTACCCTTCTCTACTTTTTCCTTACTTCTGACATCTTTCTTTTTTTTTTTTTTTTTAAGATTTTATTTATTTATTTGACACAGAGAGAGACAGCGAGAGAGGGAACACAAGCAGGGGGAGTGGGAGAGGGAGAAGCAGGCTTCCTGCGGAGCAGGGAGCCCGATGCGGGGCTCAATCAAGGGAGACAACGACTGAGCCACCCAGGTGCCCACTTCTGACATCTTTCTTTATTTTGAACTGTCCCTTCTCTTTTTCTTTTATCTTTTTAAGTTTGAATATGGAACATTTTATTTTATTTATTTTTTGTTTCAAGTTTTTATTTAAATTCTAGTTAGTTAACATACAGTATAATATTAGTTTCAGGAGTAAAATGAAATGATTCACCACTTACATATAACACCCAGTGCTCATCAAAACAAGGGCCCTCCTTAATACCCATCATGCATTTAGCCCATCTCCCACCCAACTCCCCTCCATCAACTCTGTTTGTTCTCTGTAGTTGAGTCTCTTATGGTTTGCCTCTCTTTTCCCCCCCTTTCCCTGTGTTCATCTGTTTTGTCTCTTAAATTCCACATATAAGTGAAATCACATGGTGTTTGTCTTTCTCTGACTGACCTGTTTCTCTTAACATAATACACTCTGGCTCTATCCATGTTGTTGCAAATGGCAAGATTTCATTCTTTTTGAAGGCCGAGTAATATTCTATTGTGGGTGTTATAACACACACACACACACACACACACACACACACACACACACCACATCTTCTTTATCCATTCATCAGACATTTGGGCTCTTTCCATAATTTGGCTATTATTGATAATGCTGCCGTAAACATGTGTCTCTTTGAATTAGTATTTTTGTATCCTTGGAGTAAATACCTAGTAGTGCAATTCCTGGATCATAGGGTAGTTCTATTTTTAACTTTTTGAGGACCCTCCATACTGTTTTCCAGAGTGGCTGTACCAGTTTGCATTCCCACCAACAGTGTAAGAAGGTTCCCCTTTCTCTGCATCTTCACCAACACCTATTGTTTCCTGTGCTGTTAATTTTAGCCATTCTCACAGGTGTGAGGTGATACCTCATTGTAGTTTTGATTTGCATTTCCCTAATGATGAGTGATGTTGAGCATCTTCCCACGTATCTGTTGGCCACCTATATATACGTCTTCTTTGAGAAAATGTCTCTGCATGTCTTCTTCCCATTTCTTAACTGGATTATTTGTTTTTTTGGGTGTTGAATTTGATAAGTGCTTTATAGATTTTGGATATTAACCCTTTACCAGATGTGATTTGCAAATAACTTCTCCCATTCCATCAGTTGCCTTTAGTTTTGTTGATTGTTTCCTTTGCTATGCAGAAGCTTTTTATATTGTTGAGGTCATTTTTGCTTTTGTTTCGCTTGCCATAGGAGATATGTCTAGTAAGAAGTTGCTACGGCTGATGTTGAAGAGGTTACTGCCTGTGTTTTCCTCTAGGATTTTTATGGTTTCAGGTCTCCTACATTTAGGTCTTTAATCTATTTTGAATTTATTTTTGTGGACGGTGTAAGAAAGTGGTCCAGTTTCATTCTTTTGCGTGTTGCTCTTCAGCTTTTCCAACACCATTTGTTGAAAAGACTGTCTGTTTTCCACTGGATGTTCTTTCCTGCTTTGTCAAAGATTAGTTGACTATATAGTTATGGGTCCATTTCTGGGTTTTCTATTTTGTTCTGTTGATCTATGTGTCTGTTTTTGTGCCGGTATCATACTATCTTGATGGTTACCACTTTGTAATATAGCTTGAAGTCCAGAATTGTGGTGCCTCCAGCTTTGGTTTTCTTTTTCAAGATTGCTTTGGCTATTTGGGGTCTTTTGTGGTTCCATACAAATTTTAGGATTGTTTGTTCTAGGTATGTGAAAAGTGCTGTTGGTATTTTGGTAGGGATTGTATTAAATACGTAGACTGCTTTGGGTAGTATAGACATTTTAACAGTATTTGTTCTTCCAATCCATGAGCATGGAATGTTTTTTTCATTTCTTTGTGTCCTCTTCAATTTCTTTCATAAGTGTTCTATATTTTTCAGAGTACAGATCTTTTACCTCTTTGGTTAGGTTTATTCCTAGGTAGGTTACGGTTTTTGGTGCAATTATATTGGGATCAATTCCTTGATTTCTCTTTCTGCTGCTTCATTATTGGTGTACACAAATGCAACAGATTTCTTTATGTTGATTTTGTATCCTGCAACTTTGCTAAATTCATGTGTCAGTTCTAGCAATTATTTGGTGGAGTCTTTCAGGTTTTCTACATAGAGTATCATGTCATCTGCCAATAGTGAAAGTTTGATTTCTTCCCTGCCTGTTTGGATGCCTCTTATTTCTGTTTGTTGTCTTGTTGCTGAGGCTAGGACTTCCAGTACTATGTTAAATAACAATGGAGAGAGTGGACATCTCTGTTTTGTTCCTGATTGTAGAGGAAAAGCTCTCAGTTTTTCCCCATTGAGGATGATATTAGCTATGGCTTTTATGATATTTAGGTATGTTCCCTCTATCCCTTTTTAGTTGAGGGTTTTTATCAAGAATGGACGCTGTATTTTGTCAGGTGCTTTTTCTGTATCTATTGA